TGTCACTAGGGTTTAACGATTACCTACTTTATTATGGTGGTTAACGTGCTGAAAATTAACGAAATTATAAGGAAATACAAATATCCTGTTTTCACATTAATAATTTAATATTTTCTTCAAAAAAAAAAAAAAAACTCCCGGTTTCAAAAAAAAAAAAAAAATTAAATTAATTTTAGGTTTCTATTTAATTTGAATCTACACTAATTCAAGGCACTTTATGTTCAGGCACTTTTATGTCTGATACATAATTATAAAAACTGGTACCAAAAACATATAATAAATTAGTATTAGTTACACATTTTTACAGTTTTGTAAAAAAAGTCAAATTCGCCGAATGTGCCCCTACCCGGGATAACTTCAGCATGGTACAGCACCATAGCCATGTAATTATCACCCGTATCAATGTGTGAAATTCAGGCCCTCTAAATGTTCCATTTTGTTTTAATATCCGACTCAAAGTTTGACTTTTAAGGCTTAATTTTCTAGCGGCGACATTGGGCAATGTGGCTTAAAAATGTCTTTACTTGATAAGTTGTATTTATGTCGACTATTGTTGCGAAATTGCATCTACGAATTAAATTGAACAGTGTCAAGGTTCGGACATTTGGCATCACACCAGTTTATAGTTTTTTCATTTATTTCTATCAATCTTCGAAAACCATTATATTTTAATTATTTTTATAAGAATATACATTGGAAGTTTTATACACGAAATACTTTCGAAATGGAATGGAAACATTACAAAAACATTTATAAAAATACAAAAAACCGTGCATCTAAAAAAGTTTATTAGCTAGAGATTTCAAACTGTGTGGCAGTAATTTATTTTCATATTCGATACCTATGTATCGAAGCGAGTGATGTACGGGGAGAGCTTCACATCGAAAACGCGATTGCCGAATGTGTCCCGATGCCGAAGGTGCCCCAGTCTCCCCTACTCTACCTAATGCCGTTGAAATTTTTGGAATCGGATCATAACCGCCATCGAAAAGAACGAGAATGGAAGGTCCCCACTATGGGCCAGAGATCCCATTTTTTGGCCATAATTAGAGCAGTGGGTTTATGAAATAAATAAATATCAGATACAAAGGTTTCGAGGACGCTGATTACGATTCTGCAAGAAAAAAAAGTAAAAATTTAATAGGGTGAACCGAATTAAATTATTTTTGAACACGTGTTGTAGAGCTATACTCCAAATGCGAAATCTGAAATCTGTGGGGCCTACCCCGGAGATCTGCTGTATTTAAAATATATAGGCAATATTGCATATTTTTTTAATATTCCATTTTTAAAAAATGGTTTTTTTTTTGCTACATATATAAAGACACATGTCCTAACTCCGAATTAGTTCGTGATCAAATTTTCTTAAAATCACACAAGTCTGTGTAGCGGTTAGTAAATTACAGCAACAACAAAACAAAGAAATTGAGTAAAAATTATTTTTTTTTGTTTGAAGAAATAATGTCATCATATTTATTTCTTAATTTTATACAGTATTTTTCGGGTAATTGACCCTACGGTTAATTGGTTTCCACGCTTAATTGAACCAGATGGTGGGGCAAAAAATATTTCAGAGGAAAATAAATGTAAATTTTCTCGGATAATTAAACCCTGTTGATTGATTTTCCCGCTTAATTGGTTCAAAATTCATGTCATCAAAAATAAATTCCTTTTACTTTTCACCGGTTATTTACATAATAATAATTGAAAAATAATCTGCCATTTTTTTACATACATATTTGACATAATTTGTGAAGAAGGCTAGGTGGCATCTCTACTAATTCAAAAGATATGTTTATGGCTAAGGAAAAACTGCGAAAAGGCGTAATTTGTATTTGACATTGGATTTTTTTTTAAACCATTAGTAGTTCCAATTATATGTAATTGAACAAACTATTCAATTAAGCGGGTTCGGATAATTGGTTCCTCGGTTAATTGAACAAAAATTTTTGCAAATTTTGATGTGCAATCAACCGAAAAATACTGTATAAGAAATTTATTTTTTTTAGCCGAATTTGACCGGTAAATGGGCTTATATAAAAATAGTCACTTTTTGTGTATGTATGTTATGAAATATATATTTTAAATTGTGTCTAAATCGGGAAATCCTCTACATCATTCGATGCACATGCGGTTTCCAGGATGTAGTACACGTTGTATTGAAGTGCCCAAAACTCGTAGAACGCGAATAATATACGAAAAATCAATATGCCTTCAACGCGCATCTATTTTATTTTTTCATATATTTTGATAATTCCAGTGTTATAAATATGTAAACCTCGGTTTCAGCTATGCTGAAAAATTGGCAATATTGCCCATATATTTGGCCTGTTCCAGTAATTTTTTAAAAGCAAATCTAGTAAAAGGGAAAAATTTCAAAATTGCTCTCAGAGTACAAAATAATTTGAAAAGTTCGGGACCGGAAATCTAGTAAATATGACAAAACTAGATGGCAATACTTCAAAATCAACATAACAGCCAATCAGAAGTAGGCATTCCTGTTTACCATTTTTACTCGACCAAATTTCTCGAGTAAAAAGTTTACAAAGAGAACGTCAATTTGTTTTGTGCTCTCTTAAATTTGAGCCAATGTTTTACCAGTTTTGTGGGTTGAGGAACGGTTTTCGAGTAAAAAGTTGCAAAACATCGAACGAAACTATTATATATAAAAAAATCTAAAGAACATTTTAATTTTTTTCTGCATTCATGCCACCGAAATCAATTACCTTCATGAAGTTCCAATGGTATCGAATTTTTGCTGGGACACGGATCACTAACGGTATTTATTAAATGGATAAAACTGTTTTATCGACAAGCTCAGATGAAATAAAAAAAGTAATAAATAACAACAAATACCTTAATACATTGTCGTCCGTAATATTTGAAAACGCCATATGCTCCGATGAGTCATTAGGAAATGTAGCAAATCCAGTGAATCTAACGCTATATAAGGGAGCACATTGCGTTAGAATACGTGTGCAGAGCGTATAAAAAGTCTACATTTTGTTTTAGAATTATTCAGTTGATTTCCAACTTTGCTGCATTACAGTCAAACATTTGGTTAATCGCTTATTTCGCTTCGGGTTATAGCTTCGCTAACATACAAAATGGTACGTTATAAATACAAAGAGTGTAATTGTGTTTGTGAGCTAGTGAAAGAATAAATATGTGATATATCTGTCTATTTCCGGCGGAACATTCCCCAAAATGTTATTATATTTGTATTTATTAAAAAAGAAATCACAACTTAGAACATTACAAGTTAAATTTATAGAAAATAAGGATTAGGACTTAAACTAAAATTCTGCACATTTGCCTATTTGAAAACAAAAGTTTATAAATGTAGAAAAGGTTGATTTGAGGTGGTGAAATCATGACCTCAATAAATCATCGCATAACACGCCAAATGGCATGAACATAAATTATAGTGTTCCACTAATGAATATATTAGCATCTAGAAAAAGTGTGAGTGTTAATAAATTCTAAAATTTTAGTTATGATAGAAGCGCAAACATTGGAAACTTATAATAAAAAGGATAGTACACGAAATATTCCACAACAAAAATCGGTTGAGAATGCATTGCAATCTATCTGTTTTGTTCTATTAGTGGAAAAAATCCGCCCTTTTAGTAGTTCATATGAATATAAAGAATTTCAATATATAAGACAACTCAAGAACATTTGTAGTGAATTTCCTGGTTTATAACGATTCAGAATAAAAAAGTATAAAATGTTGCCATTATTAATTTTTCATAATAATTTCCCATGGATGTAATCTTAATTATACTACTTGGATTGATTTTTTATTGATTTCATTGATAATTTGCAATTTAGGATATTCGAACAAATCAGTTACAAAATTGTTGCCTCTTGAGAAGTGATTGCAAACGACTTAATTGTATGAGATTGGATTTTTTCCAGAGATTTTCTAACGTTTTTTTTTTCGATTTTTATCCTCACTCATTCTTAATCGAAATTAAATTGTGTGTATTTTGTTTACAAAAACAGAGCAATCGTCATATAATCTGAAACTTTTTTATTTTTTGGAAAAAACGAAAACGAGCAAAAAATGTGTGCATCTGGCTTATATTTGGTCTTTTCCAGAACCTGCAAGAATGTACATTTACGATTTTCGAATAAAACGTACGAAAGTATCCCGAGTTCTTTCCGAATTTCGGATCAAACACCCAATAATTTTCCTAAACTCAAATGTTTCTTCCGATGTTTTCCGACAAAACGTTGCGAATTCCTGGGCATCTTCACACAATTTTCTCCGATTTCCGTATGAATTCGGCATCAGTCGTTCCGAATTCGGAAAAAATCTGAATAAATTGCTGCGGTTTAGCTAGTCGTGTAAAATATTATTAAGATTTTCTAAATAGCAGCACAACGTTTTTCAACCGAGTTGGCTCTAAAATAATATTTTATTGACTTTGGATAAAATAAATAAAAAATTATAATAATATTAAATAAAATAAATTTCTCGAACATTTTTTTAATTAACGTTTAAATAGGAGAATACAAAACGCTAATTGAATTCCTCTGCAACTACTGACTCTTACTTGATCACCGGGTGTTGCTTGAACCTTTGTGCTCTAGAAAATTAACAATAAGCAACTGATACTTAATAATTCGGTATAAGAATAGCTATTGTAGAAATTTGTACTATAAGTGTTTGAATAGGAAATTTGAGACCAATGGCATTTTGTAAAGTTGCAATATAAATAGTTTGTATAAAAAAACTAAAAGAGTGTATTTAACATCTATTGAAATAAATATGATATTTGTCCTTATCCGCATATAACATATTTACAGGATTTTTCAGGAAAATATACACTTACATTCAATTAATATCTTTCAAAATGTTATCAAAATCCAATAAATAAAATAAAAATGACAACATCGTTATTCTGACAAATAGCGGGAAAATCTATAGAAGAGTATTCTCATATGTGTTTGTCAGTACTACTAATAACTGTTTCTTACATTTTTAGAGGGAATGCATATCTGTTCATATTGGCCAAGCCGGTGTTCAAATAGGTAATGCATGCTGGGAATTATATTGCTTGGAGCATGGCATTCAACCGGATGGCCAAATGCCATCAGATAAGACAGTCGGCGGAGGTGATGACTCATTTAATACCTTCTTCAGTGAAACGGGATCTGGAAAACACGTACCACGAGCTGTATTTGTTGACTTGGAGCCAACGGTTGTGGGTGAGAATTTACATGAAAATCTTTTTTTTTAAATAAATTTATATTTTTTTCTAATACATATTTAGACGAAGTCCGTACTGGAACTTATAGACAATTATTCCATCCGGAGCAGTTAATTACGGGTAAAGAAGATGCGGCAAATAACTACGCCCGCGGTCACTACACCATCGGTAAAGAGATTGTAGATTTGGTATTGGATCGCATTAGAAAATTGGCGGATCAATGCACTGGATTGCAAGGATTTTTGGTATTCCACTCATTTGGCGGTGGAACTGGTAGCGGATTTACGTCACTACTCATGGAACGTTTGTCAGTGGATTATGGAAAGAAATCTAAATTGGAATTTTCAATATATCCAGCTCCTCAGGTAGGCTTACTGTTGCTCAGCCCTTTATGTTTTCGTAAAAACGAACCACACGTATTCTCTCTCAATTTAGATTTGCCATTGTTTTGCATTGGCGGCAGAATATATTACAAATACCAATGCAAGTAATATGAGCATTACTACATTTTACTTTTATTGTTCTATACATGAACCAAATTTGTTAGGATCTTGTTAGGAAATGAGAAGCTGTGGATCATTAAAATTGGCTGACTAAAAATTATGTTTTATACACGGATACTTATATCACATAAAAGTACAATAGAGTAGATTGAAAAATCGTTGTGGTATTAAATAGGAAAATTGAGATCGGTATATTTTTGGAAATATCATTGTTCCAATGAATGAAAATCAACATATTTAAAAGGTAAACGTAATTGACGTATATTAAAATAAAAGTGAAAACTTTTCCATAGAACAACTATACGGATGAATGTTTTTAAATGAAAATTGAGAAAATATCAATAGACCTTTTATAGTAACATGAATCCTGTACGTATAAAAATACCAAATATCACAACCACATAAGGCCTCTTGCAATGTTGGGTACTTGAAACTTCAGTTGGTCCAAATTTATGACCGAAAGATTAGTAATTTTCAATATAGATTCATGTTTTGACATATTTCACATATAAAGGTCCCACCTAGACTCCGAAATGTTGAAGATCCTATCATGAACACATGTTAAATTTTGGTTCGATCTGGGAACTCCTTCATATAACAGAAGAAAATTAAAAATGTGTGGTTTCATTGTAAAAAATGCCGATGCGTCTTTTTTAAAAACCTGTTTCTATATGAAGGAGTTGCCAGATCGAAACCATAATATAATTTAACAGAGATGGAAGTTTCCAAAACACTTAACTTTTTTCTGTTAATACCGAGCTTTTTGTGCTAGGCTAAGAACATTCCGAACTGCCCTCGTATATGAAGGAGTTGCCAGATCGAAACAAAATTTAACATGTGATCATAACAGAGATGGAAGTTTCCAAAACACTTAACTTTTTTCTGTTTATACTGCGCTTTTTGTGCTAGAATAAGAACTTTCCGAACTGCCCTCGTATAGTGACAGCATTTGAAGCAAACATATGCAGATTTGACAACAGTCAATTGATTTTCGGTGGTATTGCCATATTGAAATTGCTTAATTCAGTATAAATTCAGTTTTATTTTGTGCCTTAACAACACATACAATTGAGAATAATATACAAGTTAATTTGAATTATACTAGGTAAACTAGGGTATTACAAGTACCTAGGGCATTACAGGTGAAACATTATATAAACTGTTTTACTTTTGTCGATTAGTTATTGCGCTGCAACTAAATATATTAATTTTTATTGTTTATTCTTTAGGTATCCACCGCTGTTGTCGAACCATACAACTCCATACTAACAACCCATACCACACTGGAACATTCAGACTGTGCATTTATGGTTGACAATGAAGCTATTTACGATATTTGCCGTCGAAACTTAGATATTGAGAGACCCACATACACTAATTTGAATCGCTTGATTGGTCAAATCGTTTCGTCTATTACAGCATCTTTACGATTCGATGGTGCTCTCAATGTGGATTTAACTGAATTCCAG